TTGCACATGGCATGTCTCAAGTCTTCTTACTGCCCCTTCTCTTCTCCTCTCCCCTCACCCTCCGTCTCCTGGGGACCCTTTCCCATTTGTAAGAGGTTTTACCTTGTTTCCTTCTATCCACTTTTATTTTGTTCTTTGTTTGTCCTTGTCCTTACTCAAATGAGAAATAGTATATAGTGTTTAAGATTCTATGTCTGATTTATTTCACTCAACACTTTATTTTCTAGGTGCATTCATTTTCCTGCAAATGTCTCAGATTTATCTTTCTTTTTAGCTAAGTAATATTCCATTATGTACAAATACCACGTTTATCCATTAGTCTATTGATGAGTATACAGACTGCTTCCAGGATTTAGCTATTATGAACTGTGCTGCTATAAACATTGGTATGTATATATCACTGTAGTACCATGTCTTAAGCTCTTTGGGAAAGATACCTAGAAGGGAGATAACTGGGTCATATGGAATTTCTAATTTTAGTTTTTTGAGAAATCTCCATACTGATTGTACTAGTTTACATTCCCACCAACAATGTAGAAGATTTCCTTTTTCATCACAGCCACACCTGTCACACTTTGACTTTGATGATTATCATTCATTCTGGTGTTAGATGATTCTTGAAAATTTCTCACTGTATCCTGGGTGCAGCATTAACTACCACAATGCCCTTTTCCCTTCTTGGTGTGAAGGATGTAGACGTACCAATGCTTCCACCAAAGAGGAGACTTCAGCAGGAGTAAAATGCATGGAATAAGTTGGAGAGAGGGTATTAGGGCTTGGACAGCATGAAAGGATTGGTGTCCTCTGAGTGTCTTCCAGATGTAACACATGGGTGATGGGTTTGGAAAGAACTTCCGGTTATCACATAGGCTGAAGAGGCAAACAGTTAGAGAATCAGAATGTGCCCTAACGTCTTCCATTAGTAGCTAAACTGTACTAATTAAAATAAAGCTGAGTATCAACTTGGATGCTTGGAAACACTTGACAGTGCCAAAGACGTGCGCTCACTTTTTCCCTTCACCAGAGTTGGCCTACAGATGGTGAAAACAGGTATGATGTCAGGCAGCTCCGTTTCCGCCCGGACCACGGCCTTAATCCGTCAGGGTATCTCATTTCTCCACATTTGTTGAAGCTATTAATATTTTTCTTAGTTTCTTTCCTGTCAGACTACTTAAGGAACTCTGAGAAATCAGAAAAAAATCTAAGGCTAATAGAGTGAAATGGTTCTGCTGATTTTTAATAAGAAATCCTAGGAGTCCTGTATTTCCACAGACCTATACATCATTTTGTCAGTGTCTACTTTGACAGTTTCTAAATGTGTCCACTATCATTCCAGAAGCCCTTTTCACATATCAGAAGAAGTTAGCTGAAATGTAATAAAAATGAAACCTGGGATCTGTTACACAGAAACGAACAAGTCTTGTTTTCTTGAGCTTTATGTCATTTTCTTAATATGGCCCTTACTGAGAACTTAAAAAGCCTCCTAGAGAACTGAAGGTCCATTGGACATTGTGTCACTCCCCTTTGGGTTAATCCTTAAATTTCAGTGGTTGTGGTGAAAAATCAAATACAGTTACAACAAAGAAAAAATTGGCTAGATTTTTGTCAAAATACTTCTTGCCTAATATTTTTGGTAGTATTTCTTAACTATATCTCTATGTTTCAATTACATTATTGTAAACAGTGCTGCAGTGAATGTGAGAATGTAGGTATCCCTCTGACATATTAATTTCTCTTTTATTCCAATTAAGGGATTGCTGGATTATATGATAGGGCTATTTTCAATTTTTTTTTTTTAATGAGGAACCTCCATACCGTTTTCCATTATTGACTTGCTAATTTATATTCAGGTTTCCCCTTTTCTCTGTATCTCTTTTTATCTTTTGCCTTTTGTGATGGAATACTATTAAGCCTTAAAAAGGAATGACATTCTATAATTTGGAACAGCATAGTGAATCCAGAGAACATTGTGGTAAGTGAGATAATTCAAGAACAGAAAGATAAATATTGTATGATCTCCCACATAAATGTGGGGTCAAAATCAGGTTGAATAGATACTAGACAGTAGAATGATGGTTAACAGCTTCCATGGAGTGTGGGATGTTACTGATCAAAGGGCACAAATTTTTAGCCAGGAAGAATTAGTTTCAGATCTATTGTAAAGCAGGGTGAGTATAGTCAATAGTAATATATATTTAAAAATAACAGGCAGTGAATTTCAAGTGTATCACCACAATAAATCAGGGAAATGAAGTGACAGAAATATTAGTTTAATTAAATCAGGCCACATATCAAAATATACTTATATATCAAAATATCACACTGTACTCCATTAATATAATACTCTATGATTCATTAATTAAAATAACATAAATAAAAAGTTCCATTATAGTGAATTATGAATGCATCACTACCTGGTTTCTGTACTACTGAGCCATCTCTTTTTAGAAACACACATATTTGTACATATTTATGGGGTTCAGTATGATAATTCAGTACATGTATACAATGTGCAATGATCTAACCAGGGTTATTAACACATCCATCTCCGCAAAAATTTATCATTGCTATGAGTTGGGAACTTTCAACTTTTGTAGTTATTTTAAAATATATCATAATTCATTGTAGACTATAGAAAACCCACTGTGTACATTGTATTCATGTATGTATATACTTATGCACTTGCATTTTGAACTATAGATATGTGGACATTAAATCTTTTGGCTGCAAATAATGGAGATTAGGAAATTAGTTCATGTAACATTATCTCTTCTCTTGGCTTTATATTTTTTTTTGTTCATATTAGTTTTATTTTTTCAATCAATCAACTTTGTAACTAACTTTAGGAAACAAACTTCTATTTTTTATTCTGTGAAATCTAGACAATCTCCCTTTGTCTGCTATTGCGTAGGAACTTAGCTCCTTTACATGGCCTGTACCTCTCTTTTCCTTCCTCTGCACCATTATTTCATACCTACTTTCACTTCTCAGGATTGGTAATATTTATATTCTATTGCTAAGTATGCGTGGGTCTTATATAAATTGATCTAAAAATGGAAAATCAACAGTGTTTACAATACTATAATGTACAAATATTATGAACTGTAAAACCAATAGTATATTAGGATTCATTGAAAAGGAAATTACATTCCATCTGACATACAACTTCAACTAATTTTTTTTCAAAAAGGGCATATGGGTAATATTGGAAAAAATGACTCTGATTTGAAAGAAAACAAGCATGTGTCAACTTATATTTTAATGAAAATAAAATTGTATAAGTACTATTTTACGTATGAGTCTTTTCATTCAACCCCCATAGCAGTATGTGATCACTATCAAACTTTACCAGCCCAAGAAATTTTTCTTCTGTTCTCTTGGTTATTGTGTCTTCTATGCTTTCTCTAGACATCCTCTCAGATGTTGAACTAATTGTATCTTTCAACTTCCATCTCAGATCTCACATCTTCATTTGTTTAACATTTTTGCAGATGTCCTCCACTTCAATTTCCAATTCTTCTGTCATTATTCTAGCTTCGGAAATCTCATTTTGCCAAAATGCCTTTTAATTTTGCTTACTACTTAAAAAAATATGGCTTGCTATTGCTGTGGGGTGGTTGGACTGGCTTGCTTGTCTATAATAACCATTCATTTTCTTGAAGGTCTTGACTTCAGCTTGAAAAGCCTCTGAGCAAGCACTGAATGCCCCTTGTCCTAGATGACTGGACTGAGGACGGATGGGAGGACCCATGTGATACAGACTTTCAGTTAATTTCCCTAACCAGCTCTCCAGTCTGTGATCTTCATGCTCAAAGGTCTCTCTGGGATTCGTTAGGGAAGACACAATCCTGCACAGCTATAGCCTTACCTTGTGAGAGTGTCAGAGGCTGCAGCTGCCTCTATGCTCAGTTATCCATCAACTCAAAGCCATATACTTACCATACTCCTTTCAGACAGTCATCAGTGTTTGCTAGAGGTTCCATCCCTCCTATTCACCACGCAGTTTCAGCTTGATCTCATTTTTATTTTCTTGCTGTCATTTCAGTGGAATTTGAGAGCAGAAGCCTGGTAGGTGCAGGGACTCAGTCCACCACTTCAAGCTGGAACTTTTAGCTTTTACAACGGAATGAACTGCTACTAACAAGCGTTTCTTTTCTCACTAGATATTTAGAATGAATGAGGTTATAGCAGTTTTCCCAGAAGACCTCAAACAGGTAGGAGTATTTGTTCTCAAACTATTACTATTTTTCAAAATTCTTGTGCCTATGGTTTTCTTCTTTTTACACTCACTTTTTCCTTATTGCTTCTCTCAAAGGGCTGTCCTATAATAGGCTCTCCTTTTCTAACGGGACACTTTTCTTACATGATAGACAAAATAGATTACCCAGATTGCAAGAGTCAATAAACTTTGAGAGTACGTATTTAAGAACTACTCCTTTGCATGAGGTGTAGAGCATGAGTTTTGTGACATCTATTGAGCAAGCCCATAGGTGTTTATCCTCACTAATTTGGATCTCTCTTCAGTTAATTAAAAGATGCCAGTTGAAGTGCACCCTGAACTGGACTTATGTTTTTATTATCTTCATTAGAACACTATTTAAATCCTAGGGTCAATACTAAACATTTACTTCATATATTGTTGTATTTTTTTCTTTGTTATCAAAGAAGCATAACTCAATTCAACAGGAGTAAGTTTTTTTCCACATAGAGATTATTTGTAATCAAGATACAATTTTATACTTCTTAGCAATCGATAGTCAACAACTTATTTATCAATAGGGATTCATTGGCCAATGTGCCAATTACCTTCCCTCTTGAGTCTTTTTTTGTTTGTTTTTGGTTTTTCTCTGGTACCGGGAACCGAACTCACGACCTTGCGCTTGCCAGGCAGGCGCTTTTGCAGCTGAGCTAAATCCCCAGCCCCCCCTCTTGAGTCTTAACACACATAATTCCCAAAAGAAACTCACAAATTACAAAAAAAAAAAATAGGACTCAGCACAATCATTTCATATGAAGAAAATTTATTTCATGTTGTGGATGTAAATTTTAGTAGTAATTCTGTTAAAGTCATTCTTCTTGGACTGTTTCCAAAATACTAGTTTAGCTACTCAAGATAAAATACATTATCTATGGATGTTTCAAAATGTCACAAGAGAACACATACCAAAAGTTAACATATTTGTTGAATTTCATTAGGTACAAGTGAAAACTGCTAGGAAAGTCATGATTTTAGATGTTTGTACTATTTCTATGGAGTTGCACAAGTGTCAGTGGTTATCAAGAATGGTTGTGGTTGTGGAGATCTTCCCGCTGAGTCATGTGGGGATCATTTCTGAGAGCCCACGAATCCTACTCCACAGGCTTCAACTGGAACAACCCATTTCTTTCATACTGTATTTTATATGCAATGAGAAGAAAATGCCACCTCTGCTTGGAGACTCTGCTAGCAAGAAATTAAGGGGCTACCATGGAAAGTTACCTGGAACGTACATCCGTAGCTAAACGTACATCCATTCCTGGCTGCGTGAAGTAAAAAAGTACCGATGAGGAATACAGATTTTATGTCCAGTAAGCAACCACACTAGAAAAAGCTGGCAGTATCAGAGAAGTTATCTCTCTTGACAGCTTCTATGTGGGGTGTAGACTGAAAAGGACTAAGAAACAATCCTCGAAGACAAATGCTTTCAAATGGCACTGCATATTGTAGTAACTCTAAATAACCAACATTTGCAAAACACTTTTTAATCCAGCTATAGAAATAGCAACTTGTTTTTAGCCTCATGATTCTAGTAGTAGATGAAGGATTTGTATCCAATCCACTCAACAGCATTTTTTCTTCAGACAACATGACCAAATGTGAAATAAAGAAAAAATTTCCTGGGTCATATGTCTAGGTTCCAAAAAGAAGGAGAAAGCAGCTCTACAATACAGAAGAAAAAAAAGATTCAACTTAATTAGTGCTCTTCTTTGTCTCTGTCACAGAAATACATGTTTTGAGTTAAAGAGACACATATCTGGAGATTTTAAATGGAAGGAGACACCCAGCTCCTTTCTTTTCAGACTTTTGAGGCCAAGTGACTTGTTCAAAGTCCTATAACTGCCTGATGTCCAACCTGCTATACAGGTTAACAGGTGATTAAGTGTGCTCTGCCCTTACTTCCTATTTAGAAATGCTTTTCTATTTAGAAATACTCTCTAGAGTTCATATCTTTTATGCTATGAGCCTAGCCAAGAAGAGCTCGCTAGGCCAGATAAGGTGAAACTTTACCAGTTTCTCCAAGCAACTATAACAGCTGGGTCACATCAGGTAGATCCTAGTGAAGAGATGACCAGTAATTTCAGTCCAAGAATGCAATTTAACACTAAAACTTCCCCCTTCTTCAGGCCTCACTATAGCTATTGCACAACATCTATTCATGTTAAGCTTTTCAGTTTTAAGCATCTGAAGCTCTCTTTGGTCGTTTCAGGGAATACAACGTTGATCTGAGCCAATGCAGGGCGGCTTTTATAGTGCGGTCACCAGCTAAATTAATAGCATTGACCATCTGCTGAATCTTTACTATGAAATTCTATATAAAAGTGAGATCAATATTAACATGGTCCCGTTGATATTTGCTGAACCACACAGGGTCATCTCTGCACTTAGTATCAAGCAAGTCCTGCGGAGAGTACAGACTATGTTGACATCACCTGGGATTCAGCTATGCTGGTAGTTTCTCTTCCTTCTTGGAGGCAATGATTGGTCTAATGCTAGTTACTATCCGGAGATGAACTCTGGCCCCATGAAACATCATTTGCACAAGAATTAGGTCATCTCTGTGTTTGTGGGTGATGGGATTGGAATACACATTCACTAAAACCAGCCTTGTGTAAGTTCCCCCTACCACTGTGAATAGCATGGGTTAAATTTACAAAACTGTTTGCTTGTACTCTTCTGATACTTGACCCTGCTTATTTGGAGTGAGGTGGGAGTTTTCAAGCAGTTCGTAGGCATCTTGCATGTTGGGGAGACTCTGCTTCATGCCCTGGGTGACCTTTTGGATCTGAATACCAGTACTGTTCTTTGAGCAAACTCTTTGGCCCTTGTAAACCTGAGCCTGACGTTTACAGACTCCAAACTTGCTGAGTAGGATGAACACATCCCTTTGGAAGGCCTTGGTGAAAATAGCATACAGGAATGGATTGGCACAGGAGTTAAGTGGATAGAAGAGAACCAGCAAAATTTTAGAGTTGGTGACAGTGATGAGAGGTTTGTCCATAAGCGCTGACAGAGCATAGAATGAGATGGGAGCCATGCACATGAAGTCTGTGAAGATCAACACTGCCATCCTTTTGGCAATTTTGGTGTCTTTGTCCCCAGGGTTGTACTGGGGATTTCGGACTGTGATATAGATCTTCACGTAACAGGAGCAGACAATGATGAAGGCAACAATGTTGAGCAACAAAACAAGGACAATGTATGCCAGAGCAAGAGGGGTCTCCGTGTCCATAGGCAGGCAGATGCTGACCTTGGCATAGCTACTTATTCCCACCAAAGGGAGCAGGGCAAGAAGGAAGCAGCAAATCCAGCCACCAACCATGATGGCGTATGCATGCCTGAGACGGAGCTTCCGGTCCAGGCGCATGGCGAAGGTGATGGCATACCAGCGCTCCAGGGTGATGACTGTCAGTGTGTACACCGACAACTCGCTGGCGAAAACAGTGAAGAAACCAGCTGTGTTGCAGCCAGGGCCAGTCTGCCAGTCAATAGCATGGTTATAGTACTCTGAGTGAGTGTAGAGGTCCACAGAGGCAATGAGGAGCAGGTATATCCCCATGCACAAATCTGCAAAGGCCAAATTGCACATGAGAAAGCGTGGGACGGTCAGTTTGTAGTGGCTGGTGAGGAGGATAAACAGGACAAAGACATTTCCCAGGAGAGCCAGCAGGCTAACAAACCACACCACAATTCTCAGGAACCTGTAGCCCATTATGTCTTCGCAAGGGTTGAATTCATCCGACTTGGGGGTGCATACCATGTCTTCATTATCCCCACACACAATGTAGTCATAATGACTGTCAAAGGCCTGTAGAGTCTCTTCTTGGGGGTTTTTGAGCTCCTCACCAAAGCCAATGATCTCGTCCTCTTGTTCTTCAAAGAAAACATAATAATGCGAGCTACTGTGGGTATCCTGGAGCTTGGAGTTTTGCTTGTACCCAACATTGCTGTCACCCAGATCTTCATATTCTTGGTAGGTGGGGCCAGTCAAGGCATGCACAGATTTTCTCTGACGTAGGCTCCGGATACTGCTCTCATTACACATCAAGGACTCAAGGATTCTGCAAGGGAATGGAAATGAATCACCGCTTGCTTAAAATCGGTAACACTTAGAAACATAAGCAAACTACTTACTCTGGTGGGTATGACTCTACATGACTCTACATGATCTGGTTGGGCCGGTCTTACCCACATCATTGCCTGTCACCTCCCCTCACCTAGTGTGATCTGGTGACACCAGTCTTAGTTCTCATGTACAGTCACTTCAAAAATAGCAGTGAAACCACAAATAGCAGTGATAAGATAGCATGGATGTTGGAGTCGCTGGACTTAGGCTAACATGTGGCTCTACTAGTTACTAGCTGTTTTATCTTGGGCAATCTCTGGACCTCAATTTATTCATTTATAAAATGGATAATGAGAAGTATTTCACAGAGGGTTACACCCGCATAAGTGCTACTATGTGTTGGTTATTGTTGTTATTATTATTCGTATTGAGAGCTCTAGAATTCCATAGTCCTAGCCATGCCTAGAAATGCATGGCTGCCTGTACACAGTTTTAAACTCAAATGTCTCTTTCTCAGAAGAGTCTTCCTTGATCGCCTCAAGTAAATTGTCTAACCCTTGTGTTTATTTCCTTCAAAGCACTATGTGATTTTTCTTACATTTCCCTTTTTGGTTTTTGGTTTCCTTCATTAGACTGTAAACAAAATGCAAGAGGGGCTCTTGTCAGTCCTACTCACTATTCTGGATAGGATAGTGCCAGGCACACAGTAGATAATAAATAAATATTTGTTGAACAAATGAATAAATGGACACTCCCGCGCAGATACGCTCATTTAAAAAAGGATTCAGTTTTTCTGAGCTCACCATGCTTACAATAAAAGAAATTGTTCACCTTGATTCAGCTACAGAGCAGAGACTGATTGACCTACCAAGGTCTCTTTAAAACGTCCACTGGGCTAGCTGTTCTCACCTCTTTGGAGGTCAAGGAGAAACCTGGACCCTGCCCTGAGGTCTACTTTAGCTTCTTACTCATCCCTGATCCTTTCCTAGTCGGTGCCATACGGCGTCATTACAGACTCTGCCGTCACCATCCCTGGGTCCTTCTGGTTTCCTGCAATTTTATGCCCATATTGGCCTTTTTGCACAGTGCTTAAGCTTTCTTGCTTGCTTCTGCCTCCACAACTGGGTCCCAAGTCTTTTCTGATGATAAATATGAGTATAGAAAGTCAATCAACAGATTCTTACACTGAAGCTGCGAAGGACTGAAATAGGAGACAAATAAAGGTGGAGGTAGGAGACAGGGAATAGTACATGCCATACAGAGGGAAGTGTACAGGTAAAACTGTGGATAAAAGTAAGAGTGACAGAAAGTATACAGAGAAAAAGGGCCATCCTTCCTTTACAACCTCGTAAGCAGTCAGACATTAAAATAATACATATGACAGTTAATGTTTATTGAAAGCTTATACTATCCCAGGTCATCCCATTCCAGATATTCTCCATTCGGCTTCTTCTTGCATCTTCTTATAATCCCTATAATGACAACTTTATGATCTTCTTTTGTTTAGAAGCTCAGGATAGCTATGTAACAACTAGAGACTGGTAGGCCTGGGGTACAGACCAAGCTGACTGCAAAGCCTATCTCATGTAACCAGTGAGCTGTGACATTTGCGAGGCCCAAGCTGATCAGGCAGTCCACTCGCTTGTGTTTGTAAGCTTGCCCTTCCTGTTGGTATCTAATATGTGTTGCTTCTGGAAATGAGAACTAGAAATCATGTCTGTGTAACCTCCACAAAGTTCTATGTGATCTGGTCACGACTTTCCGTACCATATTGTCTCTTATTACCTCCCATCCGCTGTGCTAGCCAGGCACATCAGCCTGTTTCTCATCTGCAACCACTTTTCACCCACAGCATTGTGTCTCGTAGATTTCCTCTTCTTAGGGATGCTCCTCATTCTTTTCTACATGACTTCCAAGTCACAGAGATTCTTCTCTAAACCTAGAAATTAATTTAACTTCTACATGGCCTTTAGTCACTTATTCTGGGCCCCTGACACTTACCCTCTGATTTTCTTCTGATTCTTAAAAGCACAGCAATGGCTTGGATAAGAAAGGTCAGCCCGGATGAGGTGAAGGAAACTCAAGGAAAGTGGAAGTTTCTTAAGAGTCCAAGTGTTTCTTGCTATCAGTTCCTTCAGATGCTCCAGGCCTTTGGAGGGCAGGGCAGTAACACTGGTAGAAGACACATCCCTGGGATGCAGAGAACAGAACAGCACAGAGAGGTCGTGAGCAGCCAGAGTCTTTTAGTTCTTGGCCAGAAAACCAAATAGACCTGAGATTAATGGGAAACTGATAGGCTCCTTCCTACTGCTGAATCTGCAATCTGAATTTGTAGTCTAAGGAGGAACACAGCCACTAGTCTAAGGAGGGATGGTAGGCATCTAAGTCAATGTTTTATAAGGAACTTCTATTTTTATTGCTTGAAATTTGAGTATTCCCCAGCACACATTCTAGTTCTACAGACATTTCATTTTATTCACCAGAATACCTTCAAGCTCCTAGAATCAGAGATGAATGTCGTCTACTCTGCAAAATGACACCATCCAACTATTCAAGGGTCCTAAGAGGCAAGTGAAATAAAGTTGAGCTGCACAAGGGGAGATATACTGTTCTCAGTTTCTGTGGGGACCAGGGCTTTGGGACTGATGAACAGCTCAGTGAATGGATCAACACCAGTAATATATGAAAATAATCTAATGATGCAGAACTTGAAAGTTCTAACCAGTCACATTGTGAGTTCATGACTAAGAAAAACCCCTCCGCCCATGTGCACAGTTTATTTATTTAGAATACTGTAAATATATTCTTACAGATTCAAGTATTTACATTAACAATCTGAAATGAGATTCAAGTCATTTCTTCACACTATGGAATGCAAGGACGATGGGACTAGGGATTGGATTTTACATATTAGTTCATATTAATTTGCATATTAATTCATAGCTTTTAACTTGACATTCATTATTCTTCTCTCAATCCTAGAGCGTCTAGGTTTATGTCTTGCTGCATCATTTTTACTTGCACTGAATAACAGCTTGAATAAGATTATGAATATTTAACCTAACATCTTTCTTATTTTATATTTTATCAATTAAAAATTCATTAAGTAGCATTTATATTTTAAAATATTTACTATAATTAGTAGTGTCTGGGTAAAATGAATTCTAATAGTTTTAGGTTTTTCTTACACAGCATTATAACTGGAATTAGCTAGGATTTACGTTATCAAGCTCCAAGGCTGTCAGAACTTGCTTGTGGTTTTTGTTTGTTTCCTTGTTTGTTTTTACAAACACAAAAAGTTCATATATTAACCTCATTCTCACCACAGAACCATGACTCTTATGGGGGAAGGGTATGATATTTGCTATGTGTATGTACTTGACTTAAAATTCCACAGCGTAGTATTTTCCAAGCTTGCCTGGTGGTAAGGATTACCTTTGGCATTTGTTGCTACGTGATCTCCAGGTGAATTTTAACAGGCAAGCTGATATACATGAATGGCTTGGCTTTCTGAGAGATGTGAGGATGTTAGAGTTAGGCTTTAGTAAAGCTGAGAGGTAGGTGAAATCATCTGTCCTTTGGATATCTCTTTCTCTTTTAGCCGTGTTGTTTTCAAGGTGTGGCATCTTTGCAGAAAACTGGAAATAACTTAAGTCTCTCTTTATCCCACAGTGCTTTCGTGTCAAAGCCTCTCTGAGCTCATTTCCCCTGCTTTGCTAGCTGCTGGATACACCAATTGTGTCATTTCCCCTGCTTTGCTAGCTGCTGGATACACCAATATTCACTGCAAAGAATTTATTCTTCTAAAGGGATGTGTTTGTACTTTAACATTTCTTGAGAAAACATTTTAATGACCATTCTAATTACTGCATTATAACCCCAAAACCAAGTGACATAAAACAGCAATTGTTTTATTGTGAGCATAGCTTTTGTGGATTAGGAACGTGAACAGGGCTTAATGGGGATGGACTGCCTCTGCTCTGTGATGTCTGGGCTCAGCTGAGAAGACCTGAGGCTGAGGTGACCTGCTAGCTGGGAGCTGGGGTTATCTGCAGGGCTCTTCATGGGCTTGTCTAAAGAGCAGACTTGGCTATGGCGCAGGGCCCTGCTCCGGGGCCGCGCTGTTCCTGCTGCTGGCTGCCCTGCTCACCTACATCCCCTCGCTGCTGGTGGCCTACCGGAGCCACGGGTTTTGCCTGAAGCTCAGCAGCTACGAGGAGCAGCCGACCGTGCTTTTCCTGCATCAGGTGCTGCTCCTGGCCCTGCTGTAACCTGAGCAGGGCGGTTTCTCGCCTGGAGCACGTTCCCCGCCTTCAACCGGCTGCACTGGGACCGGCTGCGCGTCCTGCTAGTCTCAACTGGAGAAGACAGTAACCAGGACGGGAAGACAGACGTGCTGCATTTTAAACTGGAGCTTCCCCTGCAGCCCACTGAGCACGTCCTCGCCGTGCAGCTCACCCTGACCTTCTCCTACCAGCTGCACAGGACGTCAGCATTTGTGATGCGGAGCATGGCCTTTATCCAGACCTCCTGCACGGTTCCCGGGTCCCAGCTGTAGGTGAACAGAGACCTGAGGCTGCAGCAGAAGCAGCCGCTAAGCTACAGTGGCCTGGACTCGCCCAGGGCTATGACCTCACCCGCATTGTGGCCGCCTACCAGGAAAGGAATGGCACCACCATCCTGAAGGACCCCAGCCCCATCTGGCTGGTGGGCAGGGCCGCCGAAGCGCCCTTTGTGGTGAATACTGTCATCCGACAGCCTGTGGAAGTCGTTTGTTATCAGCGGGGGTTCTGGGAGATGATCAAGTTTGCCTGGATTCAGTATGTCAGCATCCTGCTCGTCTTCCTCTGAGTGTTTGAAAGAATCAAAATATTCGTGTTTCAGAATCAAGTGGTGACCACGATCCTTGTGCCGGACATGTCGCAGGGAGACTTGTATAAGGAGCACTTGTCCTGAGAAGACCATTTCTGAAGACTCAGCAGTCCCGGCCCTCGCTGTTGTGTGAACAAAGCCGTGGCCGCCTGTGGCCTCGTGTGGTTTCCCCGCCGAGGCGCAGCTCTTTCACTTTTGCTCTACCCCAATTCTGTATCTGCCAAGCGCTGGTCGAAACCACTGGGCACTAGTCTGTGGGGAGGCCCGAGGGCTCTGGAGGCCATAATTTGTTGTTTTTGTGTGTTTGCCTGCCTTGTCCTTGAATTTCAAGAGAACCTTCCAGTCAGTCCAGGCATCCTGGAAGGAGTCCCATTTCTGGTCAAGCAGAGATGGTCACTCTTTAGAACTGGATGCACTGGGCATCTCTTCTCCCTTTTTGTAATCCACTCTGACTCGTTTCAGGCCTCTCATGATGAATATGCAAATCCCCAGCAATTTCTACTCTTGGGATCTACAGTTCCCATTCAGAGCTTTGATTTCCAGAAGGAAGCCTTCAGCTGGCGGGCCCTAGAGCAAGCACTGCAAACCCGTGGTGGGGCGCGCGGGGGCAACACCAGGACCGTCCACCTGCCCTCGGCCGACAGCAGGGTCATCACCAGCCCAGCTGAACAGCCCTCATGCAACATTAAATCTGTCAAAAGACCAGTGGACTTCAATTCCAAAATAATCACAGATCCATGTACAGTCATCCGCCTGTATCTGTAGGTTCCAAATCCATGAATTCACCCACTACGTATTGAAAATATTAAAAAGAAAAGTGGGGTCTGTACTAAAGTAAGGCCTTCTGATTGTTACCATTCCCTAAGCAAAAGTAGAAGGTATTTACATGACATTTACATTGTAGTAGGTATTATAAGTAATCTAGAGATGATTTAAAGTATGCAAGTGGATGTGTGTAGTTTGTATGTAAATATTATGCCATTTTATATAAAAGACTCGAGCGTTCCCAAAATTTGATACCTTCACAGGGTCGGAGAACCAATCCCTCACAGAAGTCAGCAAGGACTGCATTTGCATCACCGACATAAGCTTTCTATTTCTAGCTAAAATCATCTCCGTGTTGCAATAGCTTTTGTGTTCACTTTTACTCCCTTCTGATCCATCCTTCAAAGAACAACCAGAGTAGCCATAACATAAGAAGCGAGTATTGGCATGTTCTGCTTAAAACCTAGCAGTAACTTCTCAATGTACTTCAAATAATGTCCATTCTTTCTTCTTTTGGAACTGGGAATCAAGCTCAGGACCTCACACTTGCTTGCCAGGCAGGGGCTACGCCAAGCTATATCCCCAGCCCCATGTCCATTCTTTATACCATGTCCTTCAGGGGCCTGCAGTCCTGGCCCTTGAATACCTCTTCAACCTCATTTCCAGTATGTGAGGGCCCTCGATGCTCTCCAGTACCCACTAGGCATGCTGCTCTAAGTATTCAGTAGGTACACTGCTTGCAAAGTGCTCCTGTGGAGCTGGCCTCTCCTCATGCAGCTCATCGACTGTTACTTTGCACTTACAAGGTCAAGCAGAGGAGAACTATTATTTTTTCTTTTTGGAAAATGTACCCTTTTACAGCGTTTTGCAGTTTTAAACACTAGATGTTCTCAGAAAGGAGAGTATTTGGTCCTTTACTTCCCAGTAGACATAGCACTGCCTCTTCACTCAAAATATCCTAAGTGGAGTGAATCTTCTTTCAAGCCTAATCATGTTTTTTTTCTTTTCAGTTCCCTGCTATTTTTCCACCTTCTTTCAGGGCTTAAAGCTTCATTGTCCTCAGGGAATCTCTTGCTCTTGTCCTCTGTTCATGCCATAAATATTTACAATAAAATAGAAGTATTCACCCACCAGATGTCAGCTATTTATGCATCGACAGCCTCATGGTTCTCATTGGTATCACCTTAGTTTAGGTCTGAATTACATTTCCCTTAGCTTTGTAAAAACTTCACAACAGTCTCCCAAAAATCTTTTACTAATCCCACCTTCAGACTTAGAATGCTTTTTCTAAAGTGTGATCTCATTGTATGCTGGCAACTATGACCCCCCCACTGTTTAAAAACTGAAATTCAAGCTTCTCAGAAGAACATCACTCTTCTGCTAGAAGGAATTCTGTCATCTTATTTCTTGATTGTTTCCTTCATTTCAGTGGAGCACATTCTGAAATAACTTCTTAGGCCACACGAAAAAGGTATTTTCAGCATTCCTACCTGCCCTACTCTTCCATTCAATTGATGTTTTACCTGGTTATCATTTTTTCCTCCAGGATTATA